AGACGTACATTTTGTGACCCTAAATGTCTCAAACAAAATAGAGTCACTGATGAGTTAGTGATAGAGTGACTCTGCCTACCATAAAATTACTGACCTCTCAAAGTAATAAACATATGTGCAGTAGATAGCACCTGCTGTGGCCAGACACCCTGAGACCAGACAAAAGAGTAAAGTCCAAAGACAGCTGAGGCAATGACCTTAGACACTCCTACAGAAGGCCATTAAAAGCTACAAAAAAACCCCACCATGGCAGAAAAAGCCTGTAGAAACTCTACCCATAAAACTGTAAGGCCTCTATTCCATCAGACAATGGCCACTAAAACTCTAAGGATAAAACACTCCCCCTCCACCCACTGTTGGTTGAGATACCAGGGGAAAAAAAGCTTAAAAAAAAAATCCCATTAACAGCTAACGTGAATGAAAGAAAAACAGACCTGACAGTTCAGTCAGTCAGTATATAGTTGGTTCCGCCTCTTCCTTTTTACTACCTGGGGAGGTTAAATTCATTTACATAAGTTTGAGTATAAAAATCTCAAAATAGGCCAGATACAGTAGCTCATACCTATAATCTCAGCACCTTGGGTGGCCAAGGCAGGAAGACCGCTTGAAGCCAGGAGTTCAAAATCAGCCTGAGCAAAATAGCCAGACACTATCTCTATTAAAAAAAAAATAAGAAAAACTAGCTGGATGGGGTATTGCATGGCTGCAGTCTCAGATACTCAGTCTGAGCTGGGAGGATTGCTTAAGCCCAGGAGTTGAATTTTGCATTGAGCAATGATCATGCCACTGCACTCCAGGTTGGTATACAGACTAAGTCTCCACTTCTTAAAAATAAAACAAACAACAAAAAAACCTCACATAAACATTTAATTAACCATTGAGTCACTATAAAACCCCCGGCCCCTGGTCAAAATTAACATAGCTAGATTAATTCAAACCTAGTATGACACGCCACAAAATCTCAAGACCTTTGGCTATGTCAACTAATGTCTCCGACTTAGGGAAATTTTAGTTGCCTAAGCCTTCTCTTACAAAATGGACATGATACATCCCCAATGTGATTGATCTAAAAATTAGATGGAAAAAATAGAAGTCTATATAATGTGCCTAATGCTGTGCCTGACATGCCACAGGTTCGAAATTATATGGCAGCTTTTTAATTCTTTGATTAAAAGACCCAAACACTGGGCAGCGCCTGAGGCTCAGTGAGTAGAGCACCAGCCCCATATACCAAGGGTGGTGGGTTCAAGCCAAACTGTAACAAAAAATAGGCAGGCATTGTGGTGGATGCCTGTGGTCCCAGCTACTCAGGAGGCTGAGGCACAAGAATTGCCTAAGCTCAGGAGTTGGAGGTTGCTATGAGCTGTGACGCCCTGGCACTCTATCAAGGGCAACAAAGTGAGACTCTATTGCTTAAAAAAAAAAAAAAAAAAAGACCCAAGCACTTTGTACTTTTAAAAACTACATAAATGGATACTTTATTACATTAAATGATTATTAGATATGAATTAAATTTTTAAATTTTTTTTCAAATGTAGCCAATTTTTATATCTCCAAAATTCCTTAAAAGGACACATTTTCCTAACATCCGCCTACAAAACGCATCTGTTTGTCTCACTCCCACTCTACCCTAAACCCCTCACTGGTTAAATAGCCTTACAATTCAAACTTGTCTCTACACTCATCCAAAACACCCACAATTAGAGAGATGACTACATTTCCCCCCAAAATAAATTACCACTTAAAATTTAAAACGCTGAGACATATTTTACCCAAAGTTTTAAATGAATCTAAACTCTTCAAAGGACAGTTACTACAGTTCTTTCACACACTAGTGATAATGAGCTACAGAAGAAGCCACCCTTAGAAGTATCACATTTGAATTTGTATAAGTCGTAAATAATCACAAAGACTAAAAATAATGGTGAAAACTATGCCGAAGTTAAATGCCCATTTCTACCCTCTGCTTTCAAGCTCAAGAATCTGAGAGCTAATTCTAAATCGTGAAATTGGAGTCTGTCCCCAGCCAGAGTAGCAGACTTAATGCACCATTAATCTGTTCTGCTATCAGCCGCCCATTGAAATAGTCACAGTCATTCGATTTTTAAGGAAAAGACAGTACTGCAAAAGTACATTCCAGAGGTCTTTTCATAAAGCCATCCTGTGTGCTCCATCTGCATGTGCAATCTGCTTGTGTATTTTCAGCCAGCTTGCATGGGCAGATTAATGCATACAATTAGAAAGCAACCTCACAGGCATTCAATAAACTGCCTTCGTTATTACACTCAGGAGAGTCCCTTTGGATGTCAATAAAAGCCTAGTTTTCTGCCTATTAGCTAAATAATTGACAACACTAAAAATAATCAGAAGCAAATGAACGAAGTCCGGAACAAGGTGTTAAGAAAGAGCACATTGAGATTCTCGTGATGGTGTCCCAGGTTGTTATCACGAGCTGTTTCTCCAGCAACTTGGATTTACAGTCTGCTCAAGTCCATGGCTACCCGACTTTATAGAAATTAAAAAAAAAAAAAAGAAAGAAAGAAACCAGAAAACATCGTTCCTGGTCCGCTATTTGAACCACACATCACAGCACACTGAAACTAGCCAAGTATTGACTATTTTGAAAGAATATCTTATTTATGTTTCTATTTTGTGTTCCTTTCTTTGACAGCTTCAGGAGAATCTAATTTGTGAGGTGGGGGTAGAGAATCCGTTTGATCTGATGAAATCTTTGTACAATTAATAATCCTAAACAGCTTTCCTATATATTGTTTCCACCACAAACTAATTCTAAGAAGGGGTGATAAGCACTTATTATGTAGGGATCTACCTTTTCTAAGAAGTCTTTTCATTATTTCTAGCTATGTAATGGTCATTCATTTCGTGTGCTATTCTTTTAATTTCAAAAGTAATGCATACAGTACTCTTTAGATAAAAAAAGAATCCCACACATCTTGTCATGTGTTTCTCGGTAGGCTTTAAAAGTCAATTTGATCTTTAGCCAACTTCCCTTTTTCCTGGTTAACTGGGACTTTCACAATCAGCAGAAGGATGCGAGTGAAATATGCATGTAATTGAATTCAGCTTCTCTGATAGTGTGCCTGGAAACCGAGAACAAATGTTTTTTTTTTTCTTTATATAAAAGGGCGATTGATCTTTCGTATTTAGAAAAACACAAATTTAAGAAACTGACAGACTATGATGGGAAGGAAACAGGGCACCACCTCCCGTCTTTCAAGACTGCGAGAATCTCCCATCCTTCCTCTGCCACATTTAGAACTCTCCAAAAAATGAACTCATTCAATTTCCCATCCTGTACCTAAGCCCTCCCTGGTAAGTAGATCTCCCCTGTTCCAACATAAAACTAGCATGCCACAGGATATTTGTTTCTCATGTGTGACTCGGACTACTAATGCTCCCAGCCTAGCCCCTTATCCCCACCACTCTTCACGCAGAGCCTAGAAATAAATGGTCATCCATTCTCTACCCATGAAGTAGGGGGAATGGGAGAGGCAATAATGCATTAACATCTTGAGTCAAGTGCCTTCCTCCTGCTCTCTCTTCTCTCAAGACAGTTGGTTTGGCTGGGTCTGTAGCTTCCCACCGGCTTCTGCCCCTCCATGCCTACTTTAGAAGAGTAGACTCTGTGACTAAAGCATAAGTGATGCTTGTTTTGTTTAAGGAAAATGATATCACTCATTGACATGTCCTACCCCAACCATCTCCCACCCATTTTCTGGCCTGGGTAACAGACCAAGTACCTTTGTGAAGGAACAAAGTAGAGGATTGAGAGAATTCTTTTCCATGTCTACTTCTGTGTCTCAAAGCAAGAAGGAGCTGCTTATGATAGAGGAAGGAGAACTTCAGAAGTATGAAAAAATGAGGATTCTGTGCTCAGAGGAGGACTATGCTCTCGGGTGTCACCTACGTGCTGACCCCCACCTCTGAGTGAGCTTAAATTCTGTGAGATACAACAATGGGGAGAGAGCAGGAGGCAGTCCATGAACATTCTGGATGAAAATGAGAGGCCACAGGCTAGTTCTGCTGGGAACAGAAACCTGCCACAGTCACTACAAAGAAAAGTTGTATCTCCCACTCAACTAAGACTTCTGTAAACAGTACCATTTCGAATCTCTATGTTGTTTACATAAGACATTTTCTTTCATTCATATCAATGGCCTGTAAGACAGATATGCTCATCCCCATTTTAAAAATTAAAAAAAAATACTGATATTCAAACAGGAGCTAAGACTTTGAACCTACATCTGCTTGGTTCTGATTTTACGCCATTTAGAATTAATGTAGGGCCAGAAATATTTTACTTTGTTTTTTTTCTTATTTCAATCAGTGTACAGGTAACCTAGCTACCAAAAGTTAGGACAGGAACTAATCTGTAAAGCCTATAAAACAGTATATAAGCCACAGTATAGAGCACCGAGTAGTTGCCTTACACACATTGGTGCCTGTTATTCACAAATCACACTGGAAAAATTACTTTTGGCTACATATGAGTGCTAATTAGGAATTTTCCCAGTAACTGCTAAATAATTTCTCAATTCTTGTCTAGAAAAAGCACAAGCGTACAATAGTTTCTGGTCCACTAGATAAATCCCTTAGGTACTTAGGTACTGCTTAGGTACTTCATTTCAAACATCTTCCTTTTTATATTAGTGTCTTGGAAGTCAATACAATCAGAAGTACCTTGGATCAGCAAAGAATCAAGCCCTCCAAATTATTTATAATGGGAAATTCCTCAAACTTACTAGTATCATTGCTAATCAATTAACTACTAAGGAATCCTTTGGTGAGTGTAAATGTCTCCAACCTTAGAATATGGTAGAGTTTAACAACCTTCACATGATGGTAGAGTTAAATTAGGTAGTTAATATAATAGCCAATAATCCAACACCAGACTTTTTGAAAAGTTACTATCACCTGAATTTAAAAGCTATTATGGACAACATGCCTATAAAGGTACAAAGTTCTGAAAACAAACTTACTTTTGGTGATGCTCTCTAAATGTTTCTCTTCTGAGATTTTCTTGAAATCTTTTCTTCTCCTCCAATTTATTGCTCTGAAATTGCAAATACGAAAATGTCATCCATTGGTGTAATCCTAGCACTTTGGAAGGCTGAGGTAGAAGAATGGCTTGAGACGTGGAGTTGAAGATCAGTCTGGACAATATAGCAAGACCCCAAGTATTCAAGTATTACTTAAATATAAATAAAGATGTCACTGATTAGAAAAGCTTTAAGTGGAAACATGATGCTAAAGTTATACAGGGTCAAAAATCCCATTGATATGGTACACTGCCAGTGATGTCAAAATGGTAATCCCTCCCATCCCCAAGGGCATAGTGCTGAAAGGCAGGAGTCTCCAGTTCTTTCCATAACTCTCTTCTCTCAGTGTGACTGATAAAATCACAGATGCAGTATTTCACTTTTTTATTCGTTAGTTCAAATGATAGCAACATTTATATTTTAAGCAATGCTTTCAAAATGTTTTAATGAAAACATGAGATTTCCATACCAAGTATGCTAAATTAAAATTATAATAAATGGTTAAATAGTTCATACAAAATTTATATCTACACCCACATTCTACTAAAGCATTCAGGAAAGGAATTACAATAAGCCAACCCAACTCCCTTCTGACTTAGAATCAGATACTTAAAGCCGTTGAGGGACTGAACAGCACATGTCATAAAAAAGCCATCCACTTGAATAGAAAAGAGGGGTTTTTTTTAATTAGCTGTTTGGAGAGCCTAGAGATAAAGGGCTTCTTATTTGATATTATTGTCACCCATGGCTCTGGTGTATTTTAATCCAATTTAAATAACCTGGGAATACTTGCTTCTTGCTCACCATGACATACTGTCATTTTTTAACTTGCTTGGGAAAAACAAGTAAAATTTCTAGACAACAAGTTTAATGAAGAGTTGAAACAAGTTCTATAACACAGGAGAAAAGTGAAGTTTTAAATGAATCCAAAAGAGACTATAAGCAGCTGGGTTTGCTTTAATAAAAACTTGGATTTGCCCAGAGGAAGACCTGTGAAAAGGGAATAGAAATCATCACTTTCTAACCCAAACATAAGTTGGCTCCATCTTTCCAAGAGGGAAAAATAACTGTTTGTATTGTTCATTTCCATAAAAGTCTTCATTCACCCAGAACTAATTATGAGTCTCATTTTGAAAGGCAAAATGGATGATGATTTCACTTTTAGAAAAAACTAAAGGAAATTTACCAGAGTCAAAGAGAATCAATTATAATGCAAGCAACTGGATTATTAATGAAACAGAATTATAGGGAGCAAACTAATGAAAAACTGTGAAACCAGATAAACATGATTTTAATCTACGAAAAAATCCTGACTCTTGAGACCAAAAGTACTGAATTGTGATAACCTCCCTGCATCCCAGGGGCGTGGTGGAGTGGTAGGGGTAGAGATCAAAAAGGTGGAAGATAAACAAGGAGTAGACATTGATTAAGCCAGTATTAGGAATGCTATTTCAAGAATGGTGAGAAAGCCACACAAACATCTAGAGACTGAGACTGGGTAGGCTTTTTTAGCAAGGTCAGAAATTGAAAACACTGGTTTCCATCTCTTCACTGATACATTCCAACACAGAGACTGTAGCTAAATTCTATTAAACAAAAGTCTGTTTATGCCTTAGCAGAAGTGATAGGGATGTATTTTACAAAATACAAAGAAGTTATATTCAATACCTACCAACGTAGGTACCTATTTTAGTATACTAATCCAAACACCTAAATAGAAAGAAATAGTCTGACCAAATCTAACAATGGGTTAAGGAGTCACCCAACCATATGCACACACACATATACAGAATATAAAATATCTTAGAACATGAAATCCAGATGAAGAAGATATGATAGCAGCTCTAAGGCCTTAACTACTGGTTGAATGACCTTAAATCATTTACTATTACTGAATCTCATTTATTCAACAAACACCTATTGCCTATTGTCTACTTGGTACTAGTTAGATGCTGAGATTACAGCTAGGAACAGAGCTGGAGTACCAACCCTAGAAAATGTCAGAGTCTGGTTGGGGACACAGACAAGAAAGCAATGATGGCAGTATGTTAAATAATGTTAGGGGACAGTTTGCAAATAATGTCATGTAAAGACAGAAAAATCCCTGAAGTGGATTGTCAGGAGCACAGTGGAGAGCTCTCAATGCTCCATAAATGTTTAATCAGTGTTGAACTTCATCCTGGGCATGAAAGCCAAGAAGTTATTCAGAACACTGGGAAGGTGCTTTCTAACCTACAGTTCATGGATATGCTGCATGTTAGATAAATGTTTTTTTCCATGGAGAGGGGACTCAGCTTTCTGGATATTGTCCAAGGGGCCTATGACCAGATAAATGGTAAAAACCATGGATCTAATGCAGTGGTTCTCAACCTTCCTAATGCCGCGACCCTTTAATAAGTTCCTCATATCATGGTGACCCCCAACCATAAAATTATTTTCATTGCTACTTCATAACTGTAATTTTGCTACTGTTATGAATCATAATGTAAATATCTGATGTGCAGGATGTATTTTCATTGCTCATGACCCACAGGTTGAGAACTACTGATTCTAATGAGAAGTAGAAATTCTAGGTAAAGACCAATCTTCACAAAATCCCAAAACCAGAGATGCTGGCGTGGATGTGGAGAAAAGGGAACACTTCTACACTGCTGGTGGGAATGCAAACTAATACGTTCCTTTTGGAAAAATGTCTGGAGAACACTTAGAGAAGTAAAAATAGACCTGCCATTTGATCCTATAATTCCTTTACTAGGTATATATCCAGAAGACTAAAACCACATTACAGCAAAGATATTTGTATCATAATGTTTATTGCAGCCCAATTAATAAATGCCAGGTCATAGAAGAAGCCCAAGTGCTCATCGACTCACGAACGGATCAAAAAACTGTGGTATATGTACACCATGGAATATTATGCAGCCCTAAAAAGATGGATACTTTACCTCTTTTGTGTTTACATGGATGGAGTTGGAAAATGTTCTTCTTAGCAAAGTATCTCAAGAATGGAAGAAAAAGTATCCAATGTACACAGCCCTATTATGAAACTAATTTATAGCTTTCATATGAAAGCTATAACCTAATTATAACCTAAGAATATGGGGAGGGGGTAGGGGGAGGGGAGGAGGGATGGGTGGAGGGAGGGTGATTGGAGCGATCACTTCTATGGTTAATCTTACAGGGGTACAAGTGAATCTTTCTAAGAGTAGAATATAATCATCTTAACATAATAACTAAGAAAATGACATAAAGGCTATGTTAACCAGTTTGATGAAAATATTTCAAATTGTATATGAATACACCACACTGTACCCCATGATTGCTCACTGCCCAGAGGTTCCCAGCAGAGGGTATCAGAAAGGCTGAAGTATCAAGCCTTGTACCCCAGCATGTGGCTTCATTAGCACAAAGGAGGCATCTTTTTCTATTTCTCACAAAGGTACCACCTATCACTGGTATGAATACCCACAGAATTGACTGCCTAGATAGAGAAGTGGTTTCTAACTTTCCAAAGGGCAATGATGGGCTAGTAGTAACCCTGAGTAGGAAAAGGAATTCCCAGAATTTACGATGTTTTCACTATATAAAGGCATAAGAGAATACGCCGTATCAGGGAACCTCAACAAGCTCACAGATCAACTGATCAGTGTTTGTAGACAGTGGGGCGGAAGATGAGTCTAAGAAAGCAAGAAGGGACAATTATAAAGAATTTATATGCCAAGTAAATAAGTCTGGACTTTATGAAGGGCAATAAGCCATGGTGTTATTTTAAGCAGAATAATAAGCAGTTCCCTCTAATAGCAACCAGGAGAATAAGCTGAAGCTAGGGCCATAGATATGAGACTCTTGGAGTGTTCTCAGGATAATCCAGGCCTTAAATTGCAGGAGTCCCAAATTAAGACAGCGGGGAGGGAGGAAAATGGCCCCTAAAAAAATGTAGAAGACAGAAATAGACAGTGTAATTACATAGATATAGACTGAGTGAGAAAAGGAGGAATATAAGATGATATTCATTTAAGAGCATCAGACTGAACATGAGTTCAATTTTTAGTTTATTGGATTTGAGATATACTTGTGGAATATCTAGGGAGAAATATGAAGCATTCAATAAAATATGGTTCTGTGATTTGGAAATATGGTCTGGCCTGAGGATAGGGATTTCAAAAATCATCAACACAACCAATAATTAAATCTTCAAATGTGGGAGTTTTCACCTAAAGATCGGTGGGGGCACCATACATGCAGAAACATCAGCCAACACCAATGGGTGGGACCTTGTAAACACCAGAAGAAAAACAAGCCAATGAAAACCCAGAAGAAATCTAGAAAGGTGGAATTTGAAGGACAGACGTTATGGTGTGAGAAAAGACCACAGGGCCAATTTCAAAGTATCTGAATGGAGTCTTTATTAGCTGGCCAGCAGCTGCCTCTGCACATCTCAGAGAGATCAGGGGAGAACAGCCGTAACCTAAACATTTTTAAGATATATGTAAGGTGGGCTACATGAGCTGATGCAAGCGAGCAGGCAGCCAGTTATGGTGACTGAGCTTTACAGAAGCAGATCTAGCAATTAGCAGAAAAGTAAACAATTTTCTCAGCACTAGCTCGTTAAGTCTTTATCTTGCTCTGCCCTGGTCTGGGAGTGATAGTGCCACTGGTGGCCATCTCATTCCCCCCTTCATAAAAAAACATTTTTATCAAGCCTGGAGTCAGCCTGCCCTAGGCTCTTCTCTTTTCTTTTTCTTCCCTGTGCCCTGTGTCCTGTTATAGGAATTGTGTTCAGGAGAGGGGAGAGGGTGTCCTATCTCCCTGTCCATCTCACAGAGAACTTGATATTACACAGAGCTGAAATAAGAGGAATTGAAGTTTCCACTGGATTTTTCAGGGAGGAACACCATTGATGGTCTTAGCTAGACCACAACTGATAGTACTAGAAACAAAAGTCACAGCCAGCCTACCAACATACAAGTAGAGAGGAATCTGAGCTCAGCATCACCTGGGGAACCTTTTTAAAAACAGATGAGTTGAGTCAAGTGATTGTTAAAGAGACAGCACACAGACTGACATTTGAGAACCAAAAATGGAAGAGAAGACCTTCAAGATGATGAACTGCGATGTTTGAGATAGAGGATTTGAAACCACAACACAATAGACAAAAGTTGTTTTTAAGATAAGAGACTTGAATGTAATTATATCCTGAGAGGAAAAAAAGAAAAAACAAAGACATGGAAAAATGGGGGTTTAACTGATGGAGAAGCAGGGACCCTATGGAAACAGAGAAAATGAGACACAGGTGGAAGAATCCTTTTTGCAACAAGGATCCCCAACTTCTTATTCTCCCTGAGATGCAATGGTAGCATTAGCAAGAGGAAACTAAGGAAACAGAAAAATAAAGATAGTTAAGACCTTTATAATTATTACATCGGACCCCTTTGAACATTGCAGGAAGCTTTTTAGGTCAGCTGATTAGCAACCTTAATTCCATCTGTGAACTTAATCCCCTTTACCATCTAAGGTAACATTCCTAGGTTCTAAGAACCAAAATGTGGACATATTGGAGGATTGGGTGATGGGAAGTATTATTCTATCTATGACAAGGATTATAATCTATTTTAAATCAATAAGTGTCAAACATACATGTCAGAGATTTCCCCAAATACTTGCCCTCCTTAGCCCTCTCAGGCTAGGCTTTGGAATGTGAGTGATAGACGAGGATAAGAGAATCCCTTTTTCATTTAGGGCTAATCAGTGGTGTGCTGGTAAACATTTAACAACCAGCTCTAGCAGGGAGGAGGAGGGAGGAAAGCTGATGTGAAGCTTTTGCTAATTTCTATGTAGATAATTCCACTAGGGTCAGTCCCGAGCTGTCAACATTCTGAAGTCAACTAGCTCAAAATATCCATAAAATTAAACAAACAATTCTCACAAGCCAGAACAAAGGGGGTTCCAGCAAACCACTGGAAGTATATATATAAGGGCTCTCAGACATATAATACAAAAAACAAAGATGTACATGGCTGGCTACCCTCAGACAGCCCTCGCATATACACATTGGCATACTCCAGTCTGGGGTGCAAGTTTGACTGAAGCATCCCAGTGCCCTCTCCAAATTTCCCACTTCACTCATAGGACAAACTCTTCCTGGACCTCACTGACGTGACTGGATGCTAAAGAGTTGGCCTTCATGCCCTCTTGATTATTAAGGATCAAAGAACTTGCACAATGCTGGCAAGAAATCCAGTCTACTCTCCATTCACTAAATGTTATGCACACAGCTGATGACCAATCAGAATGAGACTCAGTGTCCTCTGGTGACTTCTGAGAGAGAAAAAATGAAAGGGCAGTGGGGAAAGGGGCTGGATCAAGACCAAAGACAAAGGTAGGGTGTCTTGGGTAGCAACGGACTGCTTGGATTCTCTGTGGCCCCGGGGTTTCTGAACAGCAGTCATTTTCCTGGGGAGGCGGGCAGTGTGTTGTAGCCTGATGTCCCTGTGTGTGTTTGCCACGCACTTTAAAACTAAGTGCTCCATAAGCACAGCCATTATCACTTCACTTGGCCATTTTCACACTGGCAATGTGAAATATGTCATTTCTAGATGGCTAATGTCTTTTTTTTTCTTTTATCAGACATAAGCTACTAAATGTGCTCATGTTTAATATGAAAAGCCACAGATTTATTTACAAGAGGAAGGGCTAGGCTAGGGTCAGGGTGACAGTGCAGGCCAATCGGACAGCAAAATCAAGTGGAAGGCTCAGGGTGGGTTGCTGCTTCTTCAGTAAGGTCATTTAAATTAATGCTCCCCTAAGTTTGGGGCACAGCAATCACCTGGGAGGCTTATTAAAATGCAGACTGTGATTCAGTAGGTCTGAGGTGGGGCTCGAGGTTCTGCACTGCTAACAGACTCCCAGCTGATGCCAGTACTGCTTGTCCAAGGCCCACGTTTTCAGTGATAAGGGTCAACAGATCAATTTCCTCTCTCCACTTCTCACCTTCCAGCAGATCTACGCCAATAAGCACCCACGGTTATGTTAGGAAAGGGGGGAAATAAATACTGCTTTTATTCAGTGTTAAAGGAAACAGTTTCAGCCATTAACATGTATGAATAACATACATTATTGACCAAGGAAGAAAGAAGCCAGCTAATTATGGGTATTAAATGACAACTGGTAAACAAGTTTTAGAATAAGAGGTTGCAACACAATAATTCTTCAGGGTCTGCCCCTTAAATCAGTTCCTGGAGATGATTTTCTTTGTTCCACCTGAAATGCAGACACTCTGCTCTGCAGAGTCCCTGCCTCTCTACTGTCACCAAGACCTCAGTGTGAACCTTCCTTTGAAGAAGAAAATGGGAGGGTAGGGATAGGAAAAAGTGGGCTTTCTCTCCCATGGTCTTGGGCGCGGGACAAGATGAAGTTGACTCAGCTTTCTTCCCATGAGAAAGTGCCATGTGATCCTAGATGACCAAAACTGTGTACAGGGAGGTCACGCTTACGGAACTGCTGCTTCACATACCGCCACTTTTGTTCCCCTGGGTTTAAAGGTGCACTAGACCTTTCCCTTTCCTGAGTCGTGGCTCTCAGCTCCCCAGCCACCTGGAGCTATGGCAGACTTGCCATGTTTGCTCCTGCCGACATTACTCCTGTAAGCACATTACTCCTGCCCTTCGTGCATGAGTTTCTCTCCAGCCTGGCCGAATTAGAACACTGGCATTATAGGGAAGAGGATGAGCCTATCTTTCTACAGCAACAGAATGCTCTTGAACTTGGGAGAAGTGACGCTTACAGATGCTTACAGAATAGTTCAGAGAAGGTTGGGGGGCTGCCCTAGGTCACACAGCACAACAGACATTTTCGAAGAAAGACTAGTCTGCTCCCACTGGGAAGAGCTCTCCCGGGGGACAGGGGGAAGGACTCTTTCCTGTGTTCCATAAGCCACCAGCTTTCACTTCATTAACTCTGATGAAAACATTGATTGCTTGGTAACAAGGTTCAAATTTTTGACCAACGCTTAATCTTGAAAATAAAAAGGGAAAAGAAGGGAGGGTGG